GTGGATCCCTCTGTTGGTACAGCTGCTTGGTTTTACTGGCATGAGTAAAGCAGGGATGTCTAAATTGGTAGTGCTGTAGATAGAGATGTTGTTCAGACCTTCTTTGGTTAGTAAACCTAAGTTTTTGGTTTGGTTTTTTTTTTTTTTTTAATTAATGGGATCAGACGCACTAGTGATTTTTAATTTGCTGATGGCACTTGAAGCCTCCCCTTTCCAGCAAGTCATTTGCTGTGATAACTGAGTAACAGGAGGTGTAATCTGAAAGTTGAAGTACTGCTGTCTTTTTCCAGTTCTGTGTAGCAGCTGAACGTACTGTCAAAGTGCTGTATGTGATTTAATTAAAATGTAAGTAGTGCCTAACTAGTTTCAGTACTTCTGGAGAAGTCTATGCTATTTTCATTCTAAAGTGACCATTTTTGCAGATACGTATGCTGTGGTAGCAGCGTAGTGAGACTGGGTTTTAACTGGATGGATAGATGGATTTGAGGGTTTTGCTCATCAGATTTAAACCTCTATTCCAGCTAGTTCTGTCTTCAGTATACTGTACATAGTGAAATATTTCTGGTTTGTAGCTTAGTATTTAGTCTACATCAAACCATTGCAGAGAATACTTTTTATACCTATATTATTTTCTTAGATGTGCTTATGTAATAGCATAGAGCATCAAACTTGTAAAACTGCATGCAGATGACTGGGAGCCTTGGCTTTCTGTGCTGATGCCTTTTCTGGCTGTAGTCCTTGATGTGGGAAAAGAAATCCAGTATCTTGGTTTTAAATGTCAACTCTTAGTTGTAGGATGATGGCACTTGCATGTGGTTGGTAAGCAAATGTTGCACATTCTCAGTAGGTCTGAGATTCTGCGATTTCTTGTAAATGCTCTCAACCTCTCCATCTGGATTACTGCAGATATTCAACTTTGTGCAGAAGGTGAAAGCCTTTCTTGGAATGACACAATCCTAGTTTGCAGAGTTTTTGTTTCTGACTAGTATGGGTGAGATGAAAAATAAACTTCATATATTCTTGGACTATGTGTATTCTTAAATCAAATAGTTTCACAGGTCTTGGATTTCAAACTCCAGCTGCTGCACAGTGACTCTTCTGCAAGTTCCAGACCACGGCTAGAACTCCTGGGGTCTTGAACCAATCTCAAGCCAACTGTACTCTAATACTTTTTTTTTTCTTTTTTTCCTTCCCCCCCCACCTCAGGCAATGAAAGGAGAAAAGGGAATTGGGGGAACAGTTACAACTGGAGACGGTCTAAGTGAGGAGCTCACAGAGGAAGCATTTAGTAAGTAATACTTTTTATTGTGTTATTACTGTGGCTTTTCTAAAAACAGCACTTCCTTTAGAAATCAGAATTCTTACTTGAGGCATGCATCCTGGACTGACCACGTGTTACACCTGTGATCCACTGAGATTTTCATTTGAGATACCTGGAGGATAACCTGTGCTCAGATAAACTCCTCCCAGTCGGTAGAATTTACAGTCAGAATGAAGTAATATAGTGATAAACAATGATGCTGTAGTAAAAACTAATGTCAACTGTGGAAGATTTTTAAATGCGTATATTAGTGCCAGTATTTTTTCTCTACACTTAAACGCAGATTGTAATGAAAGGTGCAAACTTTTTCTTCCTTAGGCCATATTCGTTCTACTTGAAAGACTGTTGGGGAAAAAGTAAAATAAATTCCACTTGATGACTTGAGGAGCTCGTCTTTGAGAAATGAGCTAGAGAAGAACATAATCTTTGTATAATTGCAAAACACTTAATATTTCTTATTTCAAAAGAATGCACAGATTGGCAACTATAAGGTGTAGGGCAAGGAATATCATATGCATTCACTGTAGTTTTTCTTCTTCATACTGTGAATTAAAGCCTGACAGTTGTTGGGACTTTGCATTGGTTTTCTTGATGCTGGATTCTTGTGTGTACTCTTCACCTTAGCTTTTAAATGTTACGGACTGATAGTCCTGAAGCTGATACAAGAAGAATTAGGAGGCGCAGCTCTAGTCGTATCTCCTGATGAGATTTAGTTTTTCAAGCTTAAAATGTTCTGTGTAAAATCACTGGTAAACTACTGAACTAGCAGAAATTCAAAGCCTGAGGGCTGAAATAACCTATTCTGGGTCTGAAACACACTTTGCTCCCAGTATGATGACTTTGGCTGTATAAAACAGTACAGACTCTTCGGGTCTCTCCTAGCCTGGAAGATAAGCTCATAAAAATGGCTGGAAATGAAGACTCTAAACCTAAATCTTGCAGGAAACTTACAGAAAGCTTGATTTTTTATTTTTTTTTTAATGACAATTTTATAATTCAATATTAGGTAATGCAAATAGTAAAATCTTACCAGTACTCACTCATATGTCATAGCTCTGGTTCAGAAGTAGTACGACACTTAGCCCAACTATGGCTCAACTGACTTACCTTGGGTTGCTAATGGTTTGTGGATTGCAGCTGTTCGGAGTCCATCCATCTTCGAAGCTTGTCAGATCAATATATGGAAATTGTTTTCAAAGCTCTATTTTGTATATATTCTGATTCAAGCATTTAAACTGCAGCTGAAGAGTTGAGGGAGAATATATAGTTGGAAACTTGTAATTGTGTCTGCGTCCAGTATCTTGTTTTGTATGGGCAAAGAGGCAAACACAAATAAAGTTTCTCCTCTGGATGCTCATGCTCCACTTAGCCTGAGGACGATGCCCACTGGAAACCAGAAAAAAAGGAATCCCTGTCTATCTGTGGGTCTTCTGTCCCCTTCTCAAATTTAATATGGGTCCTGTTAAGCAGCAGAAGGCTGAAGGCCTGCTCGTAGTCACTTGTTCAAATATCTCGGGCCTGGGAGCCTCAGTGTGCTCGACGAAAGAAGCCTCGACTTGATGTGATTTGAAAAGAGCAACTTTGGAAGCGAATATATGAAGTCTTGGCAGGATGCAAAGGAGATGTTGCAACAGTAGAAGAAAGAAAGACAATTTTCTGTGAAATAACATCTATTCAGACCGATGGGCTCACTGCAGCCGTAGCAGAAATAGCTGTGCTGCTGTGGCGCAGCCCTTGGCTCTTTGTCTTAGCCTGATGCCAGGGCTGGGTCAGAGGCCTGGCGTTAAACCGTGTCGGATGTGGAACATGCGCATCGAAGGGCACTAGAATTTCAGGCCTGCCAGAGCCGCTTCTCGCTATGATCTTGATGCATCTCTTAACTTGCAACTTCAGTATTTGAAAATGAGTACGGTGAAGGGGCGGAGGGGGGATTATACTGTGTTTTCAGAATTTTTTTGTGGGTTATGTGTCTTGTACGTAGTAACAGCCGTACTTCAGAAAGAAACGAGCCCCACTGTCTGTCTCCTGGTGGAGAATGTTAGGCTACAGTGACTTAACTGACAGCTTCAGAGTGTCAGTGCTTTGCTTGCCGGTAGCAGCTGTAACGTGCCTACCCTGAGTGTTGCAGAGCTCAGCATACGCCTTACTGTAAAGGTTTGTCTTGGAGCATCGCTCCTGGTGTTTTCTCTCTAAATCTCAGAAGTACTTTTTACTCCGTTCCTTGGCCTCCTCTCTCCTCTGTGAAATTCAGAGCTCTTGCGTGTGCCCCGAAGGCAGCCAGCGTCATGCCGCGTCTTTGGCTTCCTATCGGTGCCTTTGCCTCTGGCTGCGCCGTTGGTTGTTATTGCCGGTCTCTGTTGCCCTCGGCTGCCTTCTGTGGGGCTTCCATGTTACGGAGTCCCTGATGGAGCCCAGTTTGTAAAGAGTCGCAGCATTTTCAGTGACTTCCCCATGCATGTGTACGCAGACCTTATGTCTAAACAAAACAGACTCAACTCTCCAGGTTTCTTGGGGTGTTGAAGCTGGAGATTGCTTCTTCAGTGGTCAGGGTGGCGAACTCCGCTCTGTTTGCCAGCGTACAGCTGGGTATGTTCCGCTTCAGATATGTACAGGGGAAGAACAAGGTGCGGTCTTACTTCTAGATTATCTGATGCAAAATTAATTTGAATTTCTTCTTAGGTGCCAGTGGGAATAAACTTGTTTACTTGTAGCACTCTCAACCATGACTGTGTAGGATGGTAGTTGTCAGGAGAGGAACTGCTTCATGGTCCCCGAGTGGGCCACAACTAAATGTTACTTAATTGTGTCAGACGCATCAGAGAAGGCTCTGTGTATCCTGCAGTTCCTGTCTAACGTTCTTCAAACACTCTTT